TCTCAAATGCTGTCAAAATTAGGAGATTGTGGACATGATACTGAGCTGGATGTAAGTTTACTGTTTAGTTTACCTTTATGTATTCTAACTTACACAAGTTTTGACAGTTTTAAGGCACATTCTGCAGGTGCATCTTATTGGAGGGTTTGAAGATAACATAGATAAAGTCTGAGTAACTTCTTAACTCTTTTGTTGTTCTCTCCCTATCCAGCTCAAAAATGATTATATTTTTGTTATTTTTTTAATGCAGCATACTGAACAAACTGGAGACAGTTCAGAGCAGAAGGACCATTCTTTTCCCCTGTGTGCAAAAATTATTGAAGCCTTGGGAAAGAGTGTGGTAAAGTTTCATATCCAAACTCTATTTGTTCTTGGCCACAATACCAGAAAAGATACTGCCGGGAATGCACTTCCGATATTCAGCGGTGTGCTGGTGAGCAATGAGACTTTAAATTGTTTTGGTTTATCCTCTATATATTTCATGATTGCATCACAAATTCCGAATTGCAAGTCAAATTTAAATTACCACTAGTGCAAAATTTAGAGATGTACTTCCTCTTTTTCAATATAGTTGCAACGTTGTGTTGTTGTGACTTTTTCACTTTGTCTAAACACAACTTTGAGTCTTTGACTATAAGTTTTTGTATATATTTTGAAAATACACGTTAAAACTAATCCAACAATATTTTACATATTAGCATTAAAATTGTATATATAAGTAAAAAACTGTAATCAAAGTTGATAAATGAATAGTGTAGTAAGTTAAAAAAATGCATGTAATGTGAAATGGAGGCAAAATGTACCTAATACCTATGTACTATGTATTAAGGAGTTAATATTATTTTGAAAATTTGTGTTTTGAGAATCTAATATTTTAATTTAGTAAGGCATGGATTTGCAAATTTATGTTTAGCTTTGCAAACCAGAATATTGGTACCTAAAAATCTTAATTAGGCTTCACAGGCTATTTAAATCTAATTAAAGCTCCAAGTGTGATGAGGTTTCATATCCAACCTTTATTTGTCCTTAGCCACAATACTAACAAGGAATGCACTTCGATAATTGGCGGCATCCTGGTGAGCAATGAACCTTCACATTGATTTGGTTCATCCGCTGGTGAGCAATTAGCCACTACTCATGAAGTCATGATTTTGAGCTATGTGTCCCACGATAGAATATCAATTCCTATCGGTATCCATATTGCCTGCTTTCAATATGATTAAATAGGTTGGATGTACCTCAAAATAGCTTAAATAATATGCATTTAGAATGCTTTGTTTTGATCTCATAATCTATTTCATTTCAGGTAGAAACTAGAACAGGAAATATCATCCCAGCCACATTTGACCAGACCACAAGATGCCCAGATGAAATTGTTAGGAGAATCCGCATCTCTGGTTCTTTTATGGACGCTCGTTGGAGAAATAAGTTACTTGAGACATATGACACTCAAACTGACCGGTTCATAATTGCCCCATGCACTTGGTAAAAGTTTTTTGTTGCTATTCTATCTGCTAGTGGCCATCCAAGATTTTCCTTAAGATTAAGATTACTTATATGCCTTAAAGTTATTATGGCTTCTTATATGTAGGTTAATTGTCTATTAGTATATTTAATGCTCTCAATTCTTTTTAGGCTCATTGCTGTTTTCTGATGTGGATCATGTGATTACGACTGTTGCAGGAGTTCACGCCTTGTACGTATGGCTTTTTTCCTACAGCAGTTACCTGATTCAGAAGTTCTTCGTACTTGTTCTACTTCACCTTTTGCTGAGGCCCCAGATTTTGTGCATAATCAAAGAAGGTCTGAGTTGTCTAGACACGTGTCATCAGCAGTTTCTTTTAAATTTCACATTTGTATGTGCTTTCTCACTCCCTTTCTGTCAATGATCATTGATCAGCAGATGAAAAGGTGATAATGTGATATGAAGGGTGCTTGAATATGTAAAACAGATGGCAGATGCATTGCTGTAGTCTAGTAGAGTTGAATTTTTGGCTATCTAGAGATGGGATTATCTCTTGGAAGTAGAAAATTGATCCGATATTTTTGTTCTACTGGTGTTCATTAATCATCACTCTTCCTTTTCTTGCTCTTACTGATATTTTTGACGTAGACTTTCGGCCTCTCTCGTGGTCAACCTGTTTTAGTAATTTTATTTACAAATTACATCTTAATTTCCTTAGTGAAAAATTTCTCCTATTACTCTATTGTTGAATCTTCATTGGGTTTTGGTTAGTATTATACATTCATCTAGATCAGTTAAGCTTAAGCATGCCTGAACTTCTGTCTAAGCTCTTAATTCTATTGTTTGATGTTCCAATATTTATTTCAACTCCCTTTGTGTTACCATCAGGCAGTGGGATTATTTGATTCAACATCCAAATTGGAAGGAAACTTTTCAAATGGGAGAACCACGCGTATTTACAAGGAGTGCTAGTGGAGGATGGATAATGGTTGAGCAAGGTAGTGATTTTCTTCCTCATCTACTTCAGGTCCCCCCTCCACCCCAATTTAATTTTTTTTTTTTTAATCTTGTCTAGGATGAAAGTCTGCTATTATGCTGAAAAGGCATCTCATTTGAGTTAGGATTTATGTGTGTGTGTGTGTGTGTGTGTGTGTTTTCCTTTCTTCCCTATATGTGTTTGCAATTGGAAGAAATCAAGAAATTAGATGCATATGATTAGTATTCATGAAATGTAGTGTTGTTTTTCTGTGCTCTGGTTTGTATTTATAGCATACTCCAATAGTCCAATGTACTCTTTGATAACTTTCCAGTCCAATAGTCCAATTGTTGAGCAGCAGACCAAGTTAGATTTGTCTGTGATAGAATATATAAACCGATCTTAGGCTTCAACCATCAACTTAAGCTTTTGGCTGAGTTGGTTTTTTTATGGAACTAGGAGTTAGCGTGACATTAAGGTCACGGGTTCAAATCTCATCAACCCCTCCTTTCAACGTGTTGGGTATGGGAAGTTGCATCCACATTATAAGCCCAATGGGTGTGAGGGAGCGTGATATAATTTTGTTTGTGATTATGATGTGAAATAATTTATTGCAATTTTCATGTCAATGAATGACTGTTGGGTGCTTATCCAGACTTTATAGGATTTTCAGCTAAACAAGATGTCTAATGAGAGGGTTAGTCGTTGAGCATTAATTCTCTCATTTACATCAAATACTGGGATCAACTCTTGTTCGGACTCTATTACCTAAATTTTCTAGTTTGATGTCTTTGATTGTAATATCGTAGCTTTGTCTTAAATGTCTGCAATCTTAGCCTCTTAGTTAATGTAACTTTGATATCTAGTAAAGCTTGCTTCTATTTGAACAAGTCCTAAGAGATAATGTCTAGCATTACATGATGCTCTCTGTCTTGATGGCAGAGCCTTTTTCCCTTGCTTTACTGTTTAAGATATGAAGTATTTAGTTTTGTTGAGTAGTCTCCTCTATGGTTCTATCTATAATTGAGTGGTAAATTTCAACATCTTCCCATTCTGTTGGTCTCCTAGATATGCTTTTGCACATCAGCATTATTTTCTGATGTTTTTGTCTAGTTTCTGTCACTGTATGTTCATCTGCTAAATAATTTTCTCATGTCCGATTTTAGTTTTTATTGGTTAACTCGTGTTTCTGGTATAAAATCTTCTCAATATCTAAAGCATATTTCTATTTCCTTTGATGCGATGTTGAAGTGATTTTTTATGCAATATTTCAGCACACGTCGCAGCCGACTGATGTTTTCGATCAGTGCTAACATAGATTGTCTTTGACAAGTTGAGCGATTATATTCCAACATTGTTGATTTGACTCATTTGACAACGTTGTGGCTCTTGAAGTTTGTCTGCCTTTTTCTGTATCGAATGCTGCACACTGTGAGTGAGTGAGGACTTTTACAAAAAGATCCAATACGATGTCTGTCCATTTAAACTTTTAAACCAACTGTGTAAAGTTAGCATACCATCGTATGATCATTAAATATATGTGGGTAAAGTTTTTTACAAGTACTGTAGTACACTGTTAGGAAAATATTGTACTGTTGAGATGCTTCATTTCTTTTTCTCAATTTGCAACACTTCTAGTTTTGCACCTTAATTTTATTTTATTTTATATATTTTTTTAAGAAAATTTTACTTTTAAAGAGCCTATTATGTACACCCGGGTATATTGTACACTTGGGGTCTTTGCTTATACAATCAACAAATGCCTAAAAATATTATTTGCTCATTTGTTGATTAAATGAGCAAATGACCCCGGGTGTAAATACACCTGGGTGTATATAACAAATTCTACTACTTTTGAACGATTTACATATAGTACTACTATAGTACTATTACTACTTCTTTTGTGTTTTATTATTTTAAAAAAAAAAACAGACATACACACACATAAGTGTAAAATCTTAATGATTCATTTAATGTATATTTACACAACATCAACATTGATGATTCTACCTCCGTTTCCGTAAGTTCGACTCACTTATTCATGTAGACAAAATAAAATAAGTTTGACCACAGTTTATGACTTATACAATAGAAAAAAAAATAAGCATGTGAGATCTTATTAAAATCATCTTATTATAAAATTTTCAAGTATGAACTTTTTGTAATTTTTGCTTATATATAGCCAAAGATATTCACGGTTAAAGATATTTTATAATGTTAACAATTGAATTTATTATATATTGACAAGTGTAAAAAAATAATAATAATTGTAATAACTATATAAAAATGAAGGACTCTGTATTATAATTTTTTTCAGTATTTTAGGTTTGAAGATATATTATTTGTCAAACTTGGAGGGTGTAGATTCAAATTTTCATGTTTTTTAATGTATATTCATATAGTTAAGAAAATATTGAAGAATGTATTAGCTTAACTTATCAAAATAACTAGCATGTCACAACTCACAAGGACTAAATGACTAATTAGTCAATATATATATACATTGCTTATCTTTCATGCTAGGAATAAATAGATTGTCTAATTTCTTTTGCCGCCAACAATGATCTCATATGATCCCTTAATTCGTTTGCCAATTTATTCACTTCATTGTAATTTTCTTTTTTATTGAGTGATTTATGTGCAAATCAATTCTTCAACCCTCAAAATTTTAAGGCTCCTAAATTAGATAAGTTCAAAAAAACGTTATGAGTTGTATAAGTGTTATTTACCCTCCATTTTATTCTTCTTTTTCTCCAAAGAAAATATCTTAAACATGTATATTTGATCAAATAGATAATTTGTTTTATTGAAAGTTACTTATTTTTATAATCAATGGCTTATAAAGTTGATCATGAATATGATTATCTATTCAAGATTGTCTTGATTGGAGATTCAGGTGTTGGTAAATCCAATATTCTGTCAAGATTTACCAGAAATGAGTTTTGCTTGGAATCCAAGTCAACAATTGGAGTTGAATTTGCTACAAGAACGTTACAGGTGAGTTTATCAAAAATGTTTTATGTTATCGAATCATCTATCTTTTCGTCAATTTATATACAAGTATATCGTTATTGCATTCCATATATATCGGTGTATGGGTATATCAGGGAAATTATGTTTATGGGTATATCGGTACATCTGTATGTGAAAAACCTTTAAACTATGTGTGAAATTGTCGTATAAAATTAATTACGGTTTGTACATAAAAATCTAGACAAGTAAAATAAAACTATCCTGTGTAAAATTGAAGGTATAATTACTAGTGTTAGTGCAGATAGAAGGCAAAGTGGTGAAAGCACAAATATGGGACACAGCAGGGCAAGAAAGGTACAGAGCCATAACAAGTGCATACTACAGGGGAGCTGTAGGAGCCCTGTTAGTGTATGACTTAACCAAGAAGCAAAGCTTCGACAACGTTAACCGGTGGCTTCATGAGCTACGTGACCACGCAGATTCCAACATCGTGATTATGTTAGTTGGCAACAAGTCCGATCTTAAGCATCTGAGGGGGGTTTCCCAGCAGGAAGGGCAGTTCTTAGCCGAGAGGGAAGAACTCGTTTTCCTCGAAACATCTGCCTTAGACTCAACCAATGTTGAGAAGGCTTTTCAAACAATTCTCTTAGATATTTACCAAGTTATTAGCAAGAAATCTTTAGCTGCTCAACAAGCTTCCGGTTCTTTACCTCAAGGCACCAACATTAATGTTGGGGTTAGTAATAATTTTAACAAGAAACCATGTTGTTCCAATTGATACATATATATTTTTTTTTCACTTATTTTTTCTGTTATTTTTTTCCCTCTTATGATGTAATTTTATTTTTCAGGAGGGTGTTGAGTGAAATTTGTTGTAAGGGAAGGAATTGAAAGGAACTTTATTAGTACCACTAAGACATAGTAGTGTTGCTTGATAGTGATAACTTGTACAAGAATACATAACCAATTTGTTGCTTGAATTTGTTGTAAGCTACAAATTAAAGTATTTGCTGTGCTATTCCCTTTGTCTTTTATATTTTCTCGTTTTCTATTCATGTGATCAAACTTAATTTTTTTTTTTTTTTTTTTTTTTTACATATTTTGTTATTTATACATAAGAAAAACATTTATCATATACTACGTAGGATAATTTGTTATATCTTCATAAGATTGACTTTCTATATTTTTTAACAATTCAAAAATAAAGTTTTTGATAGAATACATAACCGATTATGGAATTCAACGAACTACCAACTTAAGTTTTTAGTTGAGATGATCTAACGTGTCAAGAAGTCATTAGTTCAAATCTCATCCCCTCTTTTTGAGTGGAATCAAACTACACAAAATGCAAATGAGATGATTTGTAAAGACAAAGCGAGTAAACTTTAAAATAAAGTAGGGAATAAAAAATATGAATACTCTACAGTTCACCATACGCAATTTTTTATATGTAGTTGGCCACATCGTGTGGCCGGCGTTACTTGTAAAAGGTTACTCGTTTGGTCAGGGGTTATTTGTAGGGGGTTACTTGTAAGGGGTGTTACTCATTTGGTCAGGGGTTACTTGTAGGAGTTACTTATTCTGGGGTTATTTGTTTGGTCAGGAGTTACTTGTTTAGTCAAGGGAAATTAAAATTATAGGGATTACTTAATTAGGTGTTATTTACTCAAGGGTTACTCGGTCCATCAGGAGTTACTCTCACACGGAAATCGTGCTAAGCAACTGAGTAGTAACCCCTGAATAAGTAACTCATACAAGTAACACCGTACCCTACAAATAACTCCTGGATAAGAGTAACCCATGAATAAATAACCCTTACATGCTAATAACCCCTGCACTTTGAAAAGTTGCTGTTTTGGATAATAACCACAAGTCGAAACTGTGAGCGTGGGCTATCTAGGCCCCTAGAATCAATCTTTACAGTAGTATTCCTAGCAGAAACCTATCTAGCCGTTGGTAACTCGCATATTCACAAAAACAATCTGTTTCATCGAATCCATTTTGGAGACAACGCGGTTCAATTGTTACACCATTAATATTATGAGGGTTTTATTATTTTTTTTTTCAGGTAAAGAAATGAAATTCCTTAGAATTTTTAGTACGAAGATTTTAAACCAACGTAACTTAAGGATTTTATAAGAAGGTAGAAATTGTAATATTAGAATAATTAAGCATTAAATCACAAATTAAATAAGAGTTTGTTTTTTTTTTTTTTGGTTCATAATGTTCAAGATACAATTAATGTACAGTAGAATGTTGATACACTACTTGAACTTTAACTTAAACTTACCTTGAATGATTTTAGCATTATTGTACGTACAGTATGTAGCATGTTCAAACCTGTTTGGGTCCAATTTAGTCCAATTGGGCCTGGTCACTGAATGATCCAATTAAAAGCCCAAGGTTAAGGTTCAACTCTCCAAATGTGCTAAAGTCAAAAATCAACATCCTCAAAGCCATGTCAAGGTCAGTCAACGGCCCAATCAGCTTGGCCCAGCCCAACTGACTTCCGGGCCCAATCCGCCTCCTTCATTAGCCAAGGTATAAAAGCCAACAATTTGGTCAATTCTTGGTAAGACAATAAAGCCTCAAGCAACTAAACTCTTGCACAGCTTTCTCTCTCTAATATACTGACTTAAGCATCGGAGGGGCCTTCCTCGGCGTCCCCCCCGAGGCTAGTTTACGTGTATTTGTTGTGCAGGAAACCCTCGGCTCCTGCGTCGTTCGGACCGAGACCAAGTTCCCTCAAGATAAAAGGATCTTCCGAGATTCGATTGTTTTCATCCGAAACAATTTGGCGCCGTCTGTGGGGAACGCTACTAAATTTCGCGTCAGTCATCAAACACTCCGGCAGTCGCCATGACTAAGAGTGGAAAGAGTTCCAAGAAGGCTAAGAAGGGAGGAGGCCGGATTACGGTGAGGGAACGCCAGCCGGTTTATCCCTCCCCGGAGCAAGCCTCTTCCGAATCGGAGGCCCCCATTTCTCCGGAAAGGGAAGCCTCAAGAGGTCCTAGCCTCCAGGAGGAGAACACCTCGCACCACACTCGGCAGCCGGGGCCATCCCCGAGACCGAGTGGCTCAGGTGCGAGGAACTCCCCGCCGCGCCATAGCGTGCAATCCAGGTCACATCCGCGGGAGACTCCTCCCTCCGGACCCTCCACCGAGGAAGTGGCCAGAGCAGTGGCCATCTGCATGGAGTTCCTTAAAGCTCAAGGGGCTCCAATCCAGATGCCTGATGATCACCAGCCGAGAAACCTGAAAAGGAGGATCGGTCAGGATGATGGTGGACAAGTTCCACCACATAGAGAGCTCGGCCAGAGGTGGCGAGGGGACACCCGAAACTCCAGTAAGGAGAGGAGGAGGAACCCTCAACCCTCTGACCACTCTGAAGCTCAGAATTCCATGGGGCCCTCCAAGGACCCGGAATTCGCCCGCCAAAGCGTTCACGAACGCTTGGGTTCGAGGGAGGTGAGTGTGCATAGCCGCCTCACCTTCCCAGAGGATACCGGACCCCACCCAACCTTGTCTCAGCCGGGGACGAAAACCACTTCCACCTCTGAGAGAGGAGGGAGCGAGGTCCCTGAGGCCGGGTACAAGGGGAAGGCGGTCATGGTTCCATCGAACTCGCCCTTCCAGAAGTGGATTCTGGAAGAGCATGTGCCAACGGTCAAAATCCCGGCACATATTACTTACGATGGTACCTCAGATCCTAAGGATCACATTGCCTCTTACGAGGGGCACATGTATCTGAACCCGAGGTCTGAGGCTACCTGGTGTAAATACTTTCCTACGACCCTCAAAGGTGTTGCCCAGTCCTGGATCACCAAAGGGCTCAAGGAAGGCTCCATAACCGGTTGGAACGACCTCTCCAACAAGTTCAAGAGCAAATTCTCTACGGCCAACCGCCGAGAGAAGACCACTGCAGAGCTAATGAGTCTGCAGCAGGCGGAGGACGAGAGCCTCCGCGACTACCTGACTCGCTTCAGCAACGAGTCATCCGGAATCACAAGCCTGGATCAAGGCCTGGCCGTGTTCGCGCTACGGAACGGCCTCCAAGCTGGAAAGTTCCTGGACTTCATGGTCATGCATCCCCCGCAGACCCTGGAGGAAGCCTTGGAAGCATCGGATAGGTTCATCCGAGCCGAGGAGTGGAACAGATCCAGGTCTCAGTCTCGTCCGAGAATTGAGAAGCCGAAAGGGCAGCAGCCCGAAGTCTCGGCGCAGAGGAAAGGGAAGGCTAAGGCCTCAGAACCGTCCTCTGCTGCCGAGCCGAAGAAGGAAAGACACTTTCCCTACACGGGAAGGTACGATTCATACACTCCACTCTCCCTTCCCCGTGCTAAGATTTTCAGCACGACGAAGGACGAGGGGAGATTCAAAAAACCTCGTCCGTTGCCTCCCTGGCATCAGACGAGGGGAAAGGACCAGTGGTGCGAGTTCCATGACTCACCCGGACATCGCACCGAGGACTGCGTCCAGCTGAAGGACCAGATTGAGGATCTGGTCCGCAAGGGGTACCTGAGCCAATACCTCGCGGACAGGCGCGAGGAGAAAAAAGCTGAAAAAGATTCTCGGCAGGACCTCAACTTCGCTCGGAAGAAGGATAAGGGACCTCAGGGCAAGGGGTCCCTCGACATCCTAGTTATTTCCGGGGGAATCTCGCGAGGCACAGCCAAACGCCAACTGAGGGGTCTAACCCATCAGATTCATCAGGCTGAGCTTCGGCAGTCCCAGTCACCGGCGCCGAACATCCTGTTCACAGCCGAAGACTGTGAGGGGGTGGTATACCCCCACGATGACCCACTAGTAATCATTCTGGGCATCGCCAACCGCAACGTCTGGCGGACCCTCGTCGACGGCGGTAGCGGGGCGAACATCCTCTTCCGAGGAGCGTTCGACCAGCTGAGGATGGGAGCCGAGCACCTGGCCCCCGCACCCTACCCGGTGTCTGGATTCAACGGCTCTTCCTCGTATCCTGACGGGAAGATTACACTTCCTGTCACCATCGGCGAAGGCCGAGCAGCTAGGAATATCATGGCCGAATTTTTGGTCGTAGATGCTCCATCTGCATACAACGTGATCATGGGGAGACCCCTCATTCACGGCATTCAAGGAGTCGTCTCCACGTATCATCAAATCATGATATACGTTTCAGACGAGGGACGCTCCGAGAAAATAAAGGGCAGTCAAAAAGAAGCCCGCCGATGCAATCACCTCAAGCCATCCACGTCTCGCCGAGGCGACCGTGGCGATGGGGAGGAAAAGCACCGGGACCGAAACGCCAAAAAGCCGAGAGGCTCAGACGTTTCGGCTAATGAAGCCCCAGACAACGAGAAATCTGATGGGGGCCAAAAGGCTGACTCCGCCTCAGAGCCGAACGACTCTGATGGCCAGCCGCGGTCAGGAAAGTCTGCTAATATTGATAGCAGGCCGGAATTCGAGGAATCCAACTCTAAGAGCATGGAAACGGATGACCTGACCGAGTCAATAGAACTGACCGTAGGAGATCCGAACAGATGTGTTAGCATCGGGTCGTCACTGGAGCCAAACACCCGTGCGGCACTCGTCCAACTCCTACGGGCCAGTGGAGACGTGTTCGCCTTCTCAGCCGCAGAAATGCCCGGGATTGATCCGGACTTCGTCTCCCATAGGCTTAATGTCGACCCCTCCAGTCGACCCATTAAGCAGAAAAAGCGGAACTACTCCGCCGAAAAGAACCAGAACATCGCAGCTGAGGTCGATAAGCTCCTAGATGCTGGGTTCATTGAACCCTGTCAGTATCCGGAGTGGCTGGCCAATGTTGTAATGGTTCAGAAGGCAAATGGTAACTGGAGGATGTGCGTTGACTTCACGGACCTGAATAGGGCATGTCCCAAGGACTCCTATCCGCTGCCGAGGATCGACCAACTGGTCGACTCGACAAGCGGGCATGCTCTGCTCAGTTTCATGGACGCATTCTCGGGATACCATCAGATCTTCATGCACCCCGAGGACCGAGCTAAAACAGCGTTCATAACAAGTTCCGGGTTGTACAATTACAGAATGATGCCCTTCGGATTGAAAAATGCGGGGGCAACATATCAGAGGTTGGTTGATCAGGTTTTCGCCGAGCAAAAAGGCCGAAACATGGAGGTTTATGTTGACGACTCAATCGTCAAAAGCATAAAAGAAAAAGATCATGTCACGGACCTAGCCGAAACCTTCGCCACCCTCAGAAAATACAAAATGAAGCTGAATCCGAAGAAATGTGTCTTCGGCGTGAAGTCAGGCAAGTT